CCCCCCCCCCCCCTCCCCTTGCGGTATCCCCCCTCCCCCCCCCCCCCCCCTCCCCCGTGTTCGAAAATGCCGCAACCGTAGAAAAACCATGACCGACACGGTGTCCAGAAACGCCCAGCGGCGTAAGGCCGAAGCTGAAAGCGCGGCGAGGGCGGCAAGGGACAGGGGTGCCAGGGCTAATGCGGGGGGGGCGGCGGATGGGCACCCGTTGCGCGGGAGGATACCGAAGGGGTGGGAGTTCGACGACAGCAGGGAGGCGGCGTTTGCCGAACAGCGGTTGAATTCTCAGGTGACGGGTAGGTCGACGATAGCAAGGAGGCGGTGTTTTGCCGAAGTTGTTGCTGTTTTTGTCGGCGAGTGGATGTCTTCCCCCCCCCTTCGGCTGTCTGGACATTGTGCTTGCTAAGCGCCCTCGACGTACAAGTACTGCTGTATACCCGAGGTTCTAATGCTCTGTCCGCGATCGTTCATTGATCGCACCAGGTATGCATGTTGGCTACGATCCACGTATGCGATGTATCTCTCGAAAGTCGGGCACCCAAAACATTCCTTGTAGCTCGCCTAGCTTGTGCGTTCGTTCGCCAGGCAGCGAAGCAACTGTACCTAGGCAGAGCTCGATGACGTTGGTGCGGGCATGCCATTACGGCGGCGATGCTATCATTGACCGGATGTCAAGAATCAAGTAATGGTGCTGCATGGTGTGCGTGTCTCTATTTTGCTTCACACTCGCCCTTTGTTTATTTTACAGACTCTCCTTCGGTGAAATCGGTAGACGACACTCATTTTTTTCAACGTCGCGTTTCCTACTTCTATTTTTTTTCTTCCCAGGTGGTGCAACACTTGTCGACGTTAGGCGTGAGAAATTTCGTGGCGGGAAGCGACGAGGTCAAGGCTGCGTACCGTGGGAAGGCGATGACCCTTCACCCGGACAGGTAACCTTAGGTGGCATGAGGGGAGATATCACCCCCCCCCCTTGCGTCGATCACGAACCGCCTTCGCGAGAGGTTTATTTTGTTATAGCCCACCATGAAATAGAGAGGGGGAGTTCGTATCCCTACCCCTAACCCCACACCGTACCCCCTACTAAAACCAAGTTAATTATCCTCGCGAGGTCTACTGCCGATCACCGGACTGGTACCGTAGGTGACATGACGGAAGTTATCACACCCCCTGGGACCGATCACCGGGACAAGTACCACCGTAGGTAACATGACGTAAGATATCAGACTCCCGGGAACCGATTCTCAGAACTCGTTTTCTCCATAGCAGAAAAAGTGGCAGCGCCGAAAACGGTGAGGTGGAAGCCGTCTCGTCGAGAGATTTGAATCATCTTTGCCATGGAGAAATCGAGCTGTGAAACCCGGAACAGGGGGTGTAGTATCCTGTGTCATGTCACCTATGTAGCTAGCCGTCCACGTCCCGCGGCCGATCCCCCCCTCCCCCTCCCGTTGTCTTGTCCGCGAACCCCCCTCCTTTTCCCGATTTCCTCTCATCAGGAGGAGTGCCGATTGTTCGAAACAGAACGACCAGGAGTTCAAGAAGGTGGCCGAGTCGTATGCGTGGTTGGACAACAACTATTTCAGAAGACGCCCCCGCTAACTCTTATGGCACCCGGTTGTATCCTGAACCGTGTATATATATTTTTGGCATTTTTTTTTTGTTATCGGCCGCAGCAAGGTCGTGGTGCGCTCGGTAGCGCGTGCGACGCTCTGTTCTGTGAACAGCATAATTTCCTACTGATTTTTAGTATCATTTTTCCATTGTGGTAGATTATGTGTTTAAGAAAAACACTGTTGTTACACATCGTAAAAAGAAAATACTACACTCGTTTCGAGGACAGCACTGCCTTGCTCAAAGTCATGCGCAGTTCTTTGTTCATGACGGTGAGGGTTGTACGGCCGCAGCAGCAGCCGGGAATCTCTTCTACGTAGCAACTGCGTGCGCCCCCAGGAGGCCCGGTAGGAATTCGCACGGCCGAAGACTTTTTCGTAGGAGGATGTTCGTTTCGTGGAGGCTTTTTTGCTTTTTTGACGTTGCCGCGTGTGGTGTGTAGATGACGAGTTGACTAGCGGTGTGTGGTTGGAGAGGTGGAATCGGGCACACCTGTTAACCCCTGTCGTGTAGAGAAAGTTATGAGAACGGACTGATGTCGTTTCGGGGGGGGGGGGGGGGGGGG